CCTACCCCCACCACCTTCCTAAGCCAGCTGTTGAACCTGTCCTCACTACCTTGCCTTCCCCCACCCCAATAATCCACCCTCATTCCAATTTAACCCACCTTCTCCTGCAATTTTTAAATATTTTATAGATCAACATATTTATTTATTTTTTTCTCTTCTTGAATCTTCTTAATTATTTAATCTCCTCATTTACACGCTATATAATCATATAATACTATTTCTTCTTAACTCAGGGGAATCCACTTTTCTTTGCACCAATTATTCTGCCATATATCTTGGTATCGTATCTGCATTGTAAATAATTGGCTTTACGAATTATTTTGAAGCTTTAATATAACATTTTTAGTGCTGATGCATTACAATATTATCCAGTTTTATATTTCCATGTAATATTATTAATTATATTTTATAAAAAATTACAACCTGTTGGAGTGGGTTGTCGAAGAATAAGGAAACCACTTTTATGGGTTTCTTTATCTAGTTACCTGTTGAACTTTATGGTATGGGGCCACAGGTGGCAAGGGAAACTGCTTCTCTAAAAGCTTCATAATTTATGTGAAAAATATACAGTATGGTTCCCAATAATGTTTCAAGAGAGAGAGAGAGAAACACTTTATTTTCATAGAAAAGAGTGCTACCGAATCATATAGGATTTCTAAATACACAACATACTAATTATTCGCTACGGATAATCAATACAACTTATATATAAATATTCAGAACCATTTGAATATATGATTTATTAAACTTATATATTTTAAGAGCATTGATACTGTTTCGTAACAGTTCTATTTTCAACCAATTTATGAAGGCAAAAAAAAAAATTTAAATAAATCAAAAATTATAGATATATTATATATTAAAATTCCCTTGCCACATTTTTAATTGAATTCAAGTAACGGAGAATATTTTAATTACTATTCAAGCATTTAAATACATATTATTGAATTGAATTAAATTTTATTTATTCCGTTAATGTTATAATAATTATTTATATTACTGATATGGTAGTTGTGTATTAGCCCAAATATATAATCCTACTAAAAATTCGCTAACATTTTAGTTATATAGTTTAGTCAAGAATAAACGTTTATTTATTTATTTATTTGGTTATATTTTAGGTGCCGTGTGCAACTTTATAGGTTAGAGGCACCATCTTGATTGTTGATTTACAACGTTTATTTAAAATTATACAAATTTTAATACTAAAAAATCCGGCTTTTTATTTTATAAAAAAAATTAGTAATATACATTTTTTTTTAGCATCCGTACAAAATACAGACAACCAGTGAGCTTACTTTCAGAAAGCAAAATATTTTAATAGACATTAATAGACGTGAAGGAGAGGAGAGCCCACCTTTTGCCTCCATCCTTAAATCTGTGAAGCTTTGCTCCAAATGGGCTTAAGTAGGTAAATTTAACTTTACAATTTCTGTTTTAGTTTTGAACATCTTGCAAAAGGTGAGTGTTATTGCAAGTTAAACTCAGTTGACAAATAGTTGTGTCCATATTTCAGCTCGTATGAAAATCTAAAATTTTAAGATCTTTAGCCAGGGTCATAAACAGGTGCTCAAACCAGTAAGTTTGATGAGAAATGAGAAAGAGTGTGTTATTCAAAGTAATTCAAACCTTTTTTTGTCATTTTAAAGCAACTAATTTCAATTTTTTTCATTATCTAGATCTACACGATGATATATAAATGTTAAAAAAAATTTCAATTTCTTTTGCAGCACAATTCTTATTTTAATAGTCGAATGATGGAGCTGAATTCTTTTTTTTTTTTTTTTTAAATCAGCGGCTTTTATAGCAAAAAAGTTTCATTTAAATTATTATGAGATACACTTTCATATTTCAGTTCAAAACTCCTACTATGAGTATATTATTTATGTCCTAATTAGTATTTATGACTCATTGCTAATGTTGCTCGAAATTCCAAAGAGACTAGTACTAGCTATTTATTCAATGACTTAGTTTTTATAACCTAAGACCAATTTCTTGACTAGCCCTATCTTACTTACATATTATGGGTTCAACCATAGATGCATTGAAACTAAATTTTAATCGTTGCAATGGATACAATTAGAATATTAATCATGAATAAGTTCTAATATTTTAATCGATTAAAATGGTGACTAATAACTTAAACGTTTGCCATTAGCCATTAATTATATTTATTTAATTTAAATCATAAATAATAAATTTTCCTTCTTATTATTCTATTTTTCTGAATATATTCTGAAAAAAAAAGACATGTAATAAAATTACTTTGAAATCAGTTTAATTACAATACATTTTTCTAAATATCAGTAATGTATCTATTGATCAAAGACCATGTTAAATGTTCAGATCAGCTTGGGTGAATTATGAACGATAATTTCGAAACTGAAGGGAAACAACAAAGGTACAACTGTAGTATCCGCGAAGTTTCCCATTTTCTGACCAGTGCACAGGTGTAACGACACACCTGGATTTCGTTCCAGTTTTCATTACGGGAAAAGTTATACAGCAGCTATCGTTTTATATTCAACTCAATACGCCGATAATTTTAAATGAAGTAATACAAGTTTTTCCCTCTTATGAATTATTTAAGAAAAAAATGAAGGAAATTTAAATTTCAGATTGTACCATTGAATATCAATTATAATTTATCTGAGAGGCGGCTTCAATAATATCTTGAAAAACACTTTGATAGAATAGGCTATCAGTTCGCGAGGCTGAATTCCAGATTAAGGGTTACTCTTTTCCAAATATACTCTTTTCGTGTAGGAAAAGCAAATATGACTATTTTTAAAATATTAATGATGTTCATCTTACGGCTATTTTATTTTCTCGAATCGTTCACTTGAAAAAACGAACGGACATTTTTGATTCTGCTGACAAGAAATTCTTTAACATGGCCCAAAATATCAAATCTTACCCGAATTAGAAAGTGAGGTAGCAAACATCAACAGCAATTGCGTTTTTTTTTTCTCTTTAAACTGTCGCTTGTAGATACTGTAAGGTACCAGTACTCAGTAGGACGGGTAGTGTGTCTTTCGTGCAGAATTTTTATTCGTTTTAGAAATATAATTAATTAATCGGGTAATCGGGAGAGTTCCGAGAGACCTAAAAACAAAATGCTGTCACAGATGCCAGTAACACATATCCAGCAATAAAGATCTACTGAAAATGCATTTGATGATGTTTGACCCGGCAGTTAAAGCTCTGAGAGAAGTTGATATGAAGAAAACCGAGACATTAACGAGTGAATGGTCTGAATTTAATTGTCCCGCCATGACTACTAACCCTTCGGTATAAGTGGTATTAATACCTGTGTCAATAAAAGTTAAATTGTTTATGATTCTTATTATTGTATAAATAAAAATGGGTCATGCCATATGTAAGTCATAATTATTAATATTGAGGGTGATATTATTTTGGATGAGCATGTCATTAAACCAAAAAAAAAAATAATGAGTGTTGTTGTTTTATATAAGTAAATACTTTATTTTATGTTCTTATAAATATATGTTTTATTCATAAGAAATATAAATATTCTCTAATATTCTGTATTTTTTCTAATATTCTATATATATATATATCGCTATGTATTGAACATAGCAAATAAGTTTTTAAAACTTAATATGGTCTACGGAAAACAAACTTAAATGAAACTGAGTTCTGACATCAAAAACAGCGTCAAGGGGGGGAGTTTTACCTGGACCCTGGGGAAGGCTCAGAGTAACTGGCAACTAGTAACCGGTGAAGTAACTGATTCCTTTTAGGGTGTTATCTGTTATTGTGAAGTTATAGGGTGAAGATAAGAACCAATGAAAATCATCTTTACTCCTCATCATCTTTACACTGAATATTTATATAAAATCTCCTCTAAAGAAGGAGAAGTAAGAAAAGAGGTATTTTGTTGATTTTCGGCATTGAGGATAGGTCTTATGTTTTCATCCGGCTTGGGGACTGAAGTCTTGGCCCTACATAGACCATGAAGGGCCTCCTCGCAGTATTTGGATCTGGGCTTGACGAGATGAGTTTGGATCAGTAGATGCAGCGATGGCATCTACTAACTACACCACTTCACATGCCATAATAGCTAAGTTGTAATTCCCAATCCTAATGTTATAATATTTCATGGCAATAATTTTCAAAACAATTCATCTGAAATTATACCTCCACAGTTAATTATTAAATTCATTGAATCACGTATTTAGTTTCTTGTAAATATAATTTGTACATATTCTTTATTTTACATTGAAATAAAATAAGTTTTTTATTAAAAGTTATTTTAATTCTTCCACCCATTTATGTCATGGTGATCACAGGTACTTTATGTAATTTAAAAGCATGATAAACACAAACCAGCCTTTGAGAAAAGAAATCCAATTAATTAATCATGGACCAAATATATTATAGATCCAAATTTGTCAAACTAATATTTTATTAAATATTTCTGGGTAATTAACATCAATAATTATCCAGTGGCATCCCGAATAAATGTCACACCCCAAAACATAGCAATATATATAAACTGTAATTACTCTACGAATTGGTAAAGCAATATTAAGGAACTTATAAAAGTAATATTAAATCCATTTGCATTTCATTTAAAGAATACATAGGTCAGTTTTGACTTAAAAACCACAAATGATGTAGACAAATAATAGGGATGTTCAACCTGTGGTAACATTGTACATTGTTATAATTTATATATAAACAGTTTCAGAGTTTCTCATTTTACTGGTATGATCTTTATGTAAAACAAATCTTTAATGTGAATTCATCCGAAAGATTATATAATTAATAAAAATACTATTTTTACAAAGAGAAACTCGAACACACACACATGTATGTATAATTTTGTAAGTAAGGTAGATATTTAGCTGTGATAATTTTAAGTATTATATTTTTAGTCTCTTGTTTTTTTTTTTTTTTTTTGTTTCAGAAGTGTGTGTAAATGAAATCTATATGATTATTGTTTGATCAGAGCTGTTATCCAACTGCTACTTTTAAAAAAAAAACTCTAATGGTAATGTCATTAAGGCTGAGAAATGCGTGAAAAACAAAATGACTTCCGTAGTCGATATATATAAATATGATGCCTGAATACAGGCAACACATCATCTGCCGAATCCAAAATGTTCACATCTGCCATCGTTTGTGTCTTCGCTTTTTTGGTGAGATCTTTATTTTTTAAATCTTTTATTGGCTAAAATAATTCTCAATTGTAAAAATCATATTTTATAGCATTTACACGATATATATAACACTATTGTTCATTATACAGATGTTCCGTTTTAATAAACCCAATTGCCTAGACAAGCATTTTATTTATTTTTAAAAAAATCGAAAAATTCTGATTTTTCAAATATATATCGGCTAAATTGGTTATAAACTGTGTTAATCATAAATAAATAATGGTAATCATGCTTGCTTAAAACAGGACTTTAATTAACAGGATAAAAAATCAAATAATTTTTTTTTTTCACAAAATTCAGAAAAATAGCAATTTTTTTATCTAATAAACCCAAACTTAATTATAACAGAATTAAAACTTACTAAATGAAGAAGTAAGAATGAGGTATATGTAGTATAGTTGGATGATGACAAAAAAAAATCATGAATAAATTGTAATATTTGAAAACAGGACGCTCAAAAGTCTCCTTTAAATGGTTTTAAAAATGACAAAATTCCATAATCGTTTGAAGTAAATTTTGTTTAGTTTACAGTGTATTCATTATTTTAAATTGAACACTTCTTTAGTTATGGCTTCCTTTTTTTTATTTAGTATTATTTCTTAATGATATTTACAACTGTATTAAAGAAATACATTTAGTAAATTTGAACACATGGATATAATGACGTGAAAATACTTGCTGAGTAACTACCGAATAGGAGCACTCTAATAATATGTCTATACTAGGAGGGCCATCTTCTTTTCAGACGCCCAGGAGGGTTATCAGGGATTGAAGAAGAAGCAAGATTAGAAATTGGGATGATCCTGAAGTTTATTATGGAAGGATAGGTATCTGGATTGGGCCAGATCTGAAAAATAAGATGCATTAAAGTCATTATAGATGGTTTTATTTGTAACAAAGTAGGGAGCATTGAGGATTTTACAAAGGATTTTGGATTGTAAGGATTGGATACAAGAGGAATTCGATGGTTTAGTGGAGCCCCAATTGCTCAATTCCATAGGTCCAAATAGGCATTATTATAGTCATGCATGTATATGAGTCTTTTATAATTAATTGGAAGTTTAGTGCGTTTGTCTAATAAGTGCTGAAGTAATCGGAAACGTCGAGAAGTTTCTTGTCAGTTTCAGTCTGGTATGATGGTCGCTTCCTATTATACAAAAAACATGATGTACTTAAAAAAGCACAAATTCTGCTGAGGATTGCCCATTGTTTATACACTTTTTTGTAGCCCTTAAAATATGCTATCAGTTCATTAAATATTTTCTTCTGTTTACCATAAAGTCTATATATTTAGATAGCAACCACACAATTTTATAAATAATTGTCTTTGAATATTTTTCAGAATTATTAATTAATTTGAGTAAATTCGCTTGCTGTTTAAGTGTAATTATATTAGAGACAAATATTAATAATGACCTTATAACTATCTAACTACATGTGCCAACCTGCTGATACTTGTTCGTTCAGGTGCTTGGCGCTGCTGAAGCACAGAGCCCAGGAGCTGAAGGTGGTGCCCAAGGAGGCTTCAACTTCAATGTCGGGGCTGGAGGCGGTGCTTCTGGGGAAGGAGGACCCGGAGGGGAGGCAGGCGGACAAGCGGGGGCAGGATTCAGCTTTGGAGGCAGTGCCGGGGGTGGAGCTGGAGGTATTGGCATCAACAATTAATAAATAATATTTTTTAATTTATATATTTAAATTATTTATACAAAATATTGTGCATTATCGCATTCGTGTGATAATAACAAATATTATAATAGAAATAGAAATTGAACTATAGAAATAGAAAATAAACTTGATTTGACAAAAGAAAAAAAAACACCTGGCCAAAAACTAACTCAATAGAGATTCAATCAATATATACAACATTTTAAATAATACTATGTAAATTACTAAAAAATAAAATAAGATCTTCTCAACTATATTTATAATTTTACTGGAAAAATAACAAAAAGAATAAGAAAAAAAAAGGATTACATGTATAGTAAGAAAAAGCATTAGAAAGATATATATGCATACAAATTGAGGAATGTAAGAAATGAAGTACGTCTAAAATATACACAATCTTCTAGATAGAAAAAAGAAAAAATGGATAAAAACAACAAACAATCTCCTGCTTTTTATGCATCACCTCACAGTACTATGCCAGTTCACAAATAATAAACAAAAAATAAAGTAAAACAAAATAGTGGTGTATGAAAAAAAATATATAAAAAACAATTATCCTTGTTGCATGATACATAATTAACCAGCGTCTGATTGGGTTGTGAAGGTGAATTGGAATAAGAGGGTTTCGAATGTTGGTAAGGAGGGTGCATGGCGGATTTCAAGTCTGATGTAATTCCAGAAGGTGGAGGAGCAGACAATAATGGAATGTTGAAATGAAGCAGATCTATGGAAAGGGGTGTAAAGGTCAGAAGGACGAGATCTTGTGGAGAGGGAGTTTTCGTTTGTCGCAAAAATGTTTTATCTTAAGTGGAAACTATTATAATTAATTTTAATTTGTAGAGTTTTATTTCTTTACATGATTTTATAAAAATATTGTTTGTTATGTTTCAGGACGATAAAATTTCCTATCAACAATAATTTCTATCAAGAAGCACAAATAATTATAATTTTGATTCAAGTGTCTATCCATTATGTTTCGCAAAACAATATCAGTGTTAATGTTTTCAGATTATAAATTATAAATATTTAATAAAAAATAATGCACACAGCAGACTTTCAATTTCTTACAATGATCCTTTTTTCTATTTCAATATATTAACTTGCTAAATTGAGAAATGAGTAATCTTAGTGTTCACCTTAACATCAGTACAAGGAGAGAGCTTCTTATTTATTAATAATAGATACATAACTGTATGGATATTATTTATTAATTTTAATTACTTTAATCATGCTTTATCTTAATCAAATCGGATTGTTTTGAAGTTCAACTGTAGACTATCGTTATAGTAATAATGATATTTGTAAGTTTAAAGATTAATCAACAAAATTAGTTTAAAACGTTTATTCACTATCATTACTTTTAAATTAAATATATTCAAAGGGGGACTAATATGTATTGCTTTACGTAAACCTAGTAGCTATTAGAGCAATATTTAAAACAGTTATGGTGTACATACTCATCAAATAAATATTGAGTAAAGGAGTAAAAATTGAGCTTAAGTAAAAATAAAAAAAGTTTTGAAGTATTTAAAATAAAAAATTGGTGTGGTACGCTCATCAGACAACTTTCAATTAAAATCCTCTTCTTAGCAGAAATAAGTATTTTCAGACAAAGGGAAAGTGAAAGTAAAAATTATAAACGCTATATTGATTTATATTTCACTGTAGATATTTTTATTTATTTAAATACTATTATATATACAAATTTTAATATTTATATTGCTGTAACCTGTGCAATTAAATATTAAATAATACCAATTAAAGAAACATTAACATTTAAGAGAACCGCATATGTGTAAACACATAATATTGTTATGAGTCCGTAATATATCAAGTTCATGGTCGGATGAGCTCGGGAGCTCATACGAGTATCCTTTTGGGTTCTTCATTAAGTTATGGAAAGGAGTTAATCCGTAACAAATAATAATAATGATAATATTATTAATCTAACATTTATTTTAATAATTGTGTATGTTAAATGTGACAATTGGTGAATCATGTATTGTATTGAGGGTTCTCTTGAATCAAGGGATAGAGGGACAAAGCTATCCCTAGATAGCCAGATCAAGCTATCTCTGATAGCTTACAAATGGTTATCTAGAATGTACCGACATTACACAAGACCCATTATAGAAACTTAGGGAACAATACAGATTTCAGTAAAAGGTCTCTTTCTCACAGACTTCATATCAATTCTAAAGGATAAGGATACCAATTCTTAATAGTTAATAACTTCTTTCACACCCTTCCTAGACCTCCCACAATTGATTCAACCTCCTAATATTCCTGAGTATATAAATCACATGATCCTCTGGACTAATCACACTTGCAGTTAAATTATGGTAGTCACACTCTTTTAGGATACCTGGATTGAACTGTAGTCAACCCATATATTCATAGTATAACTCTGCATTTTAAAATGTCATTTGTAACAGACATTATGAATAAAAATATTACTTATAAAGTTTTCACTGCCTCCAATTCGTTAACTATTTAGTTCTGCTATTCTCTTAGTTCTCCTTTAGTTAATTATCAAATTCTTTCATATTTTATATTTAACTATTTATTATATAAGATTCATATATATATATATATATATATATATATATATATATATATATATATATATATATATATATATATATATATATATCAGTATTAAATGGTTAATTGTTTCAAATAAAATAAAATAAAGGTACTTTAGAGGAATCTAATATTGGAAGCCATTTAAGCTCTGTTAGAGAACACCAATAAGAAAAAACCTACATAATATTAAAAGTTGCTTAAGTTTACACTGATATACCGAGTGTGATCAAAATCGTTGTAGCCGGTTGTATTGTACAAATGTGTTTCCTGAATGATATAAAGTGCCACTTCCGATTTTGAAGAAAAAGTTCCTGTAACATCTGAAGTATATACATACTCTAAATGCGCAATTTCACTTTCATACGACGTTTAGTTTTTGTGATAGACTCGTCACATACCCAGACAAACGCCTAAACTTTGAGTTGAAAAGGATTAGATAACAATGTAGTCTATACTACATTCTGAAAATAAGACGAGTCTCTTATGGAACTGTGATAAAACTACGGCTGAGATAATTTATATGAGAAAACGATTATAAGGGAAACTGTTATTAGCAAAATGACAAAAAAATCCAAAGGGATTTAGGATAAATAGAATTTATTAAAGCAGCTAAATTTCAGTCATTGATATAACACATACTGCCAAGGAGCACTATACTAAAAAAAGTTATTTATTTAATGAAAGTTGTTATGTTTTTTAGAATATTTTGAGATGACAATAAATGTTGAAATGTTGTACAATATATATGAAAAATAAATCTTCTTGTTAAACTAGTGTTTTATTTATAAAATAAGATCTATCGGAGCATTTTTGGTCTTCGAAAAAAAATAATCCTTTACTGGTTATATCTTGATCATCATTTTTTTTCTAGTGAAATTTAATTAATAAAAAAAAATCTCAATAGGCAGATCTCTGAGACAGATTGTAATATTTCTCAATAAAAAAAAAGTAGGCAGATTAGTTTTTTAACTTTAAGTGATCCATAAACTAAAGGTGGTGAGTTTCGATGTTTATCCAATTAATGACTACAATACGTTCGTTATCATCATCAGATAGTAATGTTTTGGATGCTAAATAGACAAATTTGTCGATAAGCGTGATGTAAACTAGTGTTGCCCAAATACGAGACCGAGATTGCAAACTCAGTCTTGGTCTTGCTCAATAGTCTCGCAACAGTCTTTCAGTTGCCTAATAGCTTACTATTATAGGAATATTACTGTAATTTTTTAGGTAGGAAAAACCTAACTAAGCCCGAATGAAAAATTAAAGGTAAAGAGTTAAATTGAAAGGTGTATTGGTTGCACCAAATCTACACATTTTGTAACTGAAATTGTCAAGTATTAGTTACTATTTTGCCTTTATTTTTATTAAAGGAATTGATTTTTTTAGCATTCTTGGTCTTAGTCTTGCAAAGTGCAAGACCAAGAACGATTTTGGGGGACACTAGTGTAAACAATCAAAGTTACAAGATAAACGACTCTAACTCAACTGATAGAAAGAAAAAATGATTAATATTCTGGCTTGGTAGAATTTTTGGCGATTTTCCAATCACCTCAGGGTGCAATTTTCATTTGTCAAACGCCGGCTCTGATTAAAGCGCGGTGGATGACCTGTTGTTGTAATTTCGCGTTTGCTAATTACCTTTCTGAAATTTATTGAACCGTGGCATCATCATCAGGCTCAGCCTCAGCTTGATGGAGCGTTTTCCTCTTTAATATTAGATGGAGTACTTCTTCGCTTGTTGACTTTTTTTCAATTTCTTCTTAATTAGAAATAACAAGTTATGGAACGATAAATGTAAATTAATTTACTGACATTATGAAAAATATAGTATACATGAAAAATAATAAAAAAAACATAAATTCAAAGTACCAAATTAATTAAGGGATGAATAGTTGGGGTGCTCAGTCAAAAAGGAAGGCATAAATAAATTATAATATTTATTTTTTACGTAAAAAATAAGTATTATAATTTATTTTTGCCTTCCTTTTTGACTGAGCACCCCAACTATTCTTCTCTTCATTATCCACGACAGTCAACCAATTACCAATTATTATTACCAAATTAATTAGTCAAATATGGTATTGACTGACTGCTTGTTTATGTATAATGTTCCGTAATAGTATATATAAATTTAGGTCATAATAGGACAATTTCTGCAAAGCCTTGTACCTCTAAAATGCAGGTAAAAAGAGTAGCTGGATTTATTACCTTTATATCAGAAACTAGACGTTGAACGTTTCAGAATAAAAATTATTAAAATTTCTTCTCAGTCCAAATGATTGACAAAATTATCTAACTTCTATGCAATATACAGAGCCTCAAATACCTTCTTCTAGGACTATTCTTCTCTTTCTACATATGAACCATATTTAAATCAGGGCTTGAAACGAAAAAAAAACAACTTTTTATTATATGAAACATTTTATTATGACTGCAATTTTTCGTCCGTTGCTCTCCATTTATCTTGGAGCTGGAACTTTTTTCCTTTCAACATTTCAAGCAAAGATTTCACAGAACTTCTATTTAAAAGTTCTGTCGATATCGTCCGAATTCGAGCAAAAAAATAATTCTAATCACAACCACTCAAATAAACTACCCCTTAGAATCATTTGTAATTCATTTAATTCATATTTGCCAATAATTCAAGGCCATTCAATAATTATTTTTCATTTAATAAATTTTTTTAAAGAATTTCAATAAATACCAGTTATACTTTTTCCATAATTCTAGAAATTTATTGCAAAACAATTTCTAAATACATTCATTTTCAGAACTCCTTTCCTAAAATGTTTTATAGCAACTGTTAAAATAGTAACTTTAAAAAAGTTTCAAAATATTTCAACTCTTGATTCAAATCTACTTTATGTTTAAACAAATCAGAGTGCTAATGCAGAGTAAGGCTCGTTTCTGTTGATCCTCTTGCCATTGTATTGATGATGATACTTTGCAAATATTGAGATAATATTGATATTTTAATTTCGTATTTATGTTCTTAAAATATATTTTTTGTATTAGGAATTCTTATAATGTAATATGGATTCATGAATTTCACGAAAAAAAAATCACTTCATTCTTTTATCTTTGACGACACCAAAAATGATAATACATTCCTTATTATATATTTATTAGTTGACGTTTTGGGGCTGCATCAACAAATTTGAAACTTGTTTAATTTCCTGGTTTGATACTTGATTATATGTTTTATTGCTCATATTTCTGTTTAAGTTGGATATCTTGACGTTGCTGCCGCGTGCCAGAGTGAAAATGTCAAGATTCATTTTCAGGAGCCGAAAAGGAATAAATATTAACCGATCCAAGTAGGAATTGAAACCAAAACGTTCAAAACCGAGCATTCTGTGTTACATGTCCCAATATGCTCGGCCGAAGCGTCAATTAATAAACATATTGCCGAGAAGACTTTATTACATGTAGTGCCCTCAAAGATTTTT